CTTGTCCCTTCCTTCCCTGCTCTCATACAGCTGAGTTTATTTCCAACATTAGTCTGCTTGCAGCTGTTCTCACTGTCTCTTCGCTTGCAGATTTTTTTATTTTTCCTTCTACCCTGAAGATGGAGGCGATACGTTCCTCCGAAACGTCGGTTAACACCACATCTACACGGTGCCACATCCCAGAAGACTGCTTTCTTCATAGTCACCACCGTGAAAACCTCAAATCTTACATAACTTTCTTTTTATTTATTTTCTTTATTGCTAGTGGGGTGGAACTAAGTACCTTTTACTGCGGCCACTTCTGGCCTACTGTACCAGCCCCAGATGATAGGTGAGGGTGATTGTGGAGCAATTGGTGGAATGAAGATTGGCAGGGGAAACTGAAGTACTCGGAGGAAACCTGCCCCAGCGCCACTTTGTCCACCACAAATCCCACTTGACCAGACCCAGGATCAAACCCGGGCCACCGCGGTGGGAAGCCAGCAATTAATCATTTGAGCTATGGCACGGCCTTTAGGGATAGCTTTACCCTTTTTGTTTCAATGCATTGTGTAAAGTGACAACTGTTACACACAGTGTGTACATAAAACTGGCCTAGTAGAGACAACTTTATTTCTCATCTGCATTCTCAAAATTTTTCCACATTCTTGCCTCAGTCTCATAAAGAGCTGAGAAAGTAATTTTGGCACATGATTAACATCCAGCAGATTCTTTCCAGCGTGCACAAGCATAAGTAAAACCATCTTCTCTGCATTTTCTATAAGTGCGTTTGCTATTGTCAAAACCACCAGTACAGACTTCTGCACACACCACCAAATTTTGAAAACTAGATTCTTTATGAAAATTAACAGAATTGCACACTCAGATAACAGCTGATGTGAATCCCTTACATATACGCAGAAACATTTTTCTAAGTAATCACCCTCATATAGGCATTACTTGTATGTTAACCGTCAACACAACAAATGTACTCAGTTTTAATGTTTTACAATCCAATCTTTATTCCTGCTATATTAAAATATTCATAATATTTTTAATATTCCATAATATATTCAACACATTATAAATCTTGATACATGTATGGTATATTATTTTTGTATTTTCTACTTTAATTGTAAACACCAACTTGAGGCAAAAGTTTTATGTTAGTATATAATACAACACACTGAACTGATATTGATCCTTATCGGTAGTTCAGTAACTATATGTATTCCTATATATAACTGGCTGATGATGGTCTTCTATGACCGAAACACGTAGCAGGAATAAAGATCATATTGTAAAATAATTAAAACTGAGTACATCTGTTGTGTTGATGGTCAACATAATTCCTATATATACACACACACACACACGAATATATCTGGAACACACAACAGGGTGCAACCAATGAAGATAATCACCCTCATACCTATTTCCTCAAAAAAGTATTTTCTACTAGTTTCTAAATGCATATACGCAGCATGAACATTAGGTGGGAACCAAAGGCAATGAACATTTTGTACCCTTCCATTTGCCACAGAATGTAGGTTTTTTGACAGGAAGACNTTTTCCTCTTGAATTTTTGGCAAAAAATGAGCGGCCTATACATGCGTAAATACGGTATATATACACAAAAATATTTGGAACACACAACAGGGTGCAACCAATGAAGATAATCACCCTCATACCTATTTCCTCAAAAAAGTATTTTCTACTAGTTTCTAAATGCATATACGCAGCATGAACATTAGGTGGGAACCAAAGGCAATGAACATTTTGTACCCTTCCATTTGCCACAGAATGTAGGTTTTTTGACAGGAAGACCTAAACACTGATTTGTAACTTAAAATATACCATTGATGTCATTATGTCAAAACACTCTGTGCGAAAATGTATCAAGCTCATAATATTTGCAATTATGACAGGACATGTAACAAATCCATTTAAAATAAAACTATCCATATGTGACCATTCTTGAAAGTATCAAAGATACGTAGCAGAGTTTTAATTCTGTGCATAAAATCGTGGTAATTTTGATGCCAGGCACAGAGCTGTGTTAACTGGAATGATTGTAGACAGTGACCAGTGTAACAGGGCAACCAATATTATTCCTAGCTTTAGTATATAATAAATATAGCGCAATAACAGCAGTGAAACAAACGGTGACAAAAGATTCAAAATGCCTTATCACCTTCCTCAACAATTTCATGGGTCTGTGATAAAGCCTGAAACCTGGGGATGGGAAGTCACCAAGTCATGTTGCTTCTGCTCCCACCAGTCTGAAGGCTGTACTCACCTTTCACTATGCACCTCATCTCTGCTCGGCCATTGACTGGGACTATGAACTCATCGTCCGGAAGCACAACACTGCTGTCATTTCTCCCAGGTGGGTATGTGGGGTAGATATTGCTTCCAGAATGGGGAGGTTCTGATCTCCCATCATGTTCGCCTGTAATATGAAGCGTGGACTGTAGTGAAACGGTATTCAGTGTGAAGGTAAAAATATTTTTAATGTTTAAATGTCACATTTACCCTGACCTGAAACAAGGAGTTTTCCATTATACCATCTATTATGTCATAGCATAAGTTAATACTTTGTTACAAAGAATGTAATGTAGCATGTATAGTTCTTGCTATCCAACAAACATGAGAAGAACATGCATTGCTTGGCGACGGCTGGTAAACACTTCAACAATACCGAAGCTATTGCTAGGCAAGTGTTTGGTAAATGGGTTCCCGCTGCAACAGATAAGCATGCAACGGTTAAGGTATTGTTGAGCTATAATAATGGAAACTGTGTTTTCTATGTGGTTCATGTGAAATGTTAGAAGCATTATCAGTCAAGTTCCTGAGTTAGAGTTGTCAAGAATCCAGCTGAGTGAAGCGATGTGAAGCAGCTGGTTGTTGAGTGAGTTCAGTTGTCAGTTGGAAGTCAACCTGTGAAGAGAAGACTATGAGTTTGGTGCGAAATGGCCGTCAGCCTGGTACCTAGTTAGATGAGTTGTCAGTTGACAAACTGCATGGAAGGCTGTAACAGGAAGACCTGAGTGTGGGAAACTGAAGAATCTCTCTCAGTGGAAGCTGAAAACCGCTAGTGGAGACTGTAACAGACTGAGGACACTATTCTGTGTGTATCAGTGATCTGTCAAGTGTAGTTCCAAGTGGTGTATACAAGTGGTCAATAAATCCAATATCCAATCCATACCCCATCCTAAGTCACATACCTGAATCGTGACAGAAATATATGTTACGCAGAGGAATAATATACCGTCACAAAATAATAATCTTCGGTAAGATTTTGATAACAAAAGCCCACCTAGGATATGACAATAACTAGAAAGGCTGCTAAGATGATGATCTGATTCTGTTACACAATATCTATAACAAATCAACAAACAAATCAAACTGTTGATGTGTTCTTTAGAAAATTAAAAGCTGGACAAGTCCCGAAACTCAGTAATCCCAAGTGTAATACACCCTCATCAGAACTCTTTAGAACTGAAAAGAAGTATTGACCAAGTTTAGCCTGATTTTAAATCAGATTTGATTTATTCATATAATGTGTAGTGCTCTTATAACAATAGGGCTTTGAAGCTGGCTTAAACAAATTCCAGACACCAGGTCACCATGGCACCTAAAATGTTCATGATGGAATCTAGAACCCCCTTCCTGTTACTTTACTTGATGAGTGGATAAAACACAGAGCGAACTAAACTGATCTATGTATTCACCTGGAATGTCTCCTCGACCAGGAATGACTTCATTCTCCTCTACTGTAAGATGCAACCTCTCTTCAGTAGTGCCAGCTGCATTGCGAGCCAAACAACTGTATGAACCTTCATCTGCCTTGGTCACACGAGTAATCTCATACACAGCTGTCTGTGGCATGGCACTGGTTACAGGCTCTGTGTCACTGAAAATGAACACTGTGCTCTAGTCCACACAATATTAATAAAATGGATCTGACTAGGATCATTCATAAGAGAGTCAGCCATTAACACGCTTTCATTGTAATGATGAGCCTCTGGAGATTCATAATCTTATAATCTCAGAGCTTCTCCAGGAATCCTTTCCCAAATCCTTCGACTTTTGACTGCCAAACTGTTATATTTCAAAACTGAACTGCTAGATGGAGTGCATGTGAGTGATGAACTTGGGATGGGACACAACAAATGCTGATGCATGTGCACATGGGCAGTTTCCATTATTCAAAATATCTAGTGGCAGCAGTAACAAATACATCAAAGAATTTGGAACAGGTCACATTTTCTGTTAGTATTTCAATGTTAAGACACAACAAAAATTGGCAATGAGGATAAATACAAGTGAAAAGGAGTGAGTCTAGTTATACCTAGTGATCAAGGTCAAGATTCTTTAAGTTACAAAGTCTTTATTCCCAGTAACTTTTCAATTTTGAATTCCTTCCAATAGATGCTGATAAATTTAAACAGTTCATGCTGGCTTTTAAAATGCAAAACCAGCAATTTCTTGAATGAGTTCTACCACTGCAAGCACCAAGTACTTCAACGCAACAGTCGAGTGAGAATCCAGCATCAGTTAATCCAGTGTTGCTTCAGCCTTTTGAAATTTTTATTTTAAAAGGGAATCCTTCAAATAATATTGCCAACGATTTGAAAAATTTCTTGAAATGAAGAAAATAACTTCAAACAGGCAATGGTGTGCAAAGATGTTCCTTAATTCAGTGTGCTTCAAATTACAATATGCTGGCAGCATTAGTGTTCCTAAGGACTCCAGCTGAGTTAACGTTATGATGCACTAATGAATACTTTTGAAGTGTACCTCTGCTCAAAAAGAAATATTCTTGACTCTCAACATCATTTTCTTTCAACTTACCAGGCGAAACTCAAACAATCGCAGAGTACATTGGGACTTTTGGACATGACGTTACTGACTGTGAATTTATCTCACCTTGCGAGTGCCATTTATAAATTGCAGACATATTTTTACATGCACAGTTTGTATATGGTATTCATGACATTTCAATTCGTGAGCAAATTTNTCTCTAAGATCAATTTTGATATTGTAAGATTTGAGGCTTTCACGGCGGTGACTATGAAGAAAGCAGTCTTCTGGGATTTGGCACATATACACGGTGCCAAATCCCAGAAGACTGCCTTCTTAATAGCCTTAGAAGCTTCAAAAATTGAAAGTCATCAGCTTTCTAAGAAATTTACCATTTTAACAAGTGCAAATGAAGAGGTCAACAAGGTTTTCAAGTACCGAAATACCAGATGTGATGATGGAAATGCCCAGAACAGGAGTCGTTCTACCTCTACACCCAGGGTCAAACCTAAAGAACACTCAGTCACAATCCAGAACTAACTTCAGAAAGCTTTGAATTAAAAATTTCTGCATTCACTGTGGCGAAGATAATCGTACTGTCACGTGTTGGGCGTATAACGCGTGACAAATAACTTCACGCTGTCTTTCATCTAGCAAATTTATTCCACTCGCTCTCACAATCACACAATTCACAATTTCCCAACTACTGCCATTGGCAGTATCACAAATACTTCTTCTGCTGTAGTATGTTTCCGCATATCACCCCGAGAGTCACCCAGGGGTGTCCACATGAGGCCTGCGTGCACTGGGAGTTGATGGACTAGGTCGCACTAAGTCTATCTGACTCTGGTTCTGCTGCCACCATCTGGTCTGTAGCCCAAGCCTTTGCCACATTCATCATAAATGCTTTGTATTTCAATTTTGAATCAGGGTTTAGATTTTTGTAAACGAAAAATGAATTGAAAATGGCACAATTTATAAGCCACAAGGCAACTTTCTCTTTTATTATCTGTGGCCACAATTCTTTGTTGACCCCTGTCACTTCCACTGTGTGAGTCACTAATCACTAATCCTCCACAAGGCAGTCAGATAGAAAACAAGTCAGAGAGATCGCTTTGCCTTCAACCACTTTTGTCCTTGAAACATATTCCCCTCTACTAACTTCCTGCCTGGTACATAAACAGCTGGAAGGGGCAAAGTTTATTTTCTTTTGGAGTAGGGACTCTAGCCAGACAGGTCAAGTTACTGAATACCTAGCATACTCGTACATTCCGAAGATTTATTACACAGTATTCATTGCAGCTGCGTGGCGCCAGAGCAAGGTATAGTGTGTTACAACCTAATGTGTCCTAAAAGCCTGATATCATGCGTCCAGCCCGCATAGTGTTAACAACAGTGTCCCCTGATACATCACAGTGGGAAGTGCTGTTACGTCACCGTGGCAATGGTTCCCTGACACAGTTGCTCTTCTGTTATGTCACCGCAGGGGAGGGGGTGTTTACTGAGCATTGCGTAATGATGGAAGGAGTGGGGGTATGTGACATCACTCGCGAGACCGCAGAGTTCACGCGACCCCCTACTAGTTAAATTGGAACACTAAGTACACATTGGGGAACCTATCATATGAACTGGTTATCATTTGGTATAAAAACATCTCTGAGTCAGTTTAACCATATCATCGATCAGGTTTTTCAAGGCCTACAAAAAACGCTGTCCTACTTTGATGATCTCAGAATTCATAGCACAACAAAAGGAGAAAGTCACAAAAACCTTGAATTCTCTCTCTGAAGACTGAAAAAATATGACCTTCACTTGAATTGGAGAAAGTGCTCCTTCTTCCAAAAGCAAATTGAATACTTGGGACACATTTAACACATTTAACGAAATTTCTAAGAGCCCAGAGAAAATCAGAGCAATAATTGATATGCCCAGACCTTCCGTTGTGGAAGGATAATGCGATTTCTCAGGATGGTCACTTGCTACTCATGATTTCTGCCAAGTAATTCCTCAACCACCTATCCTCTTCAACAGCTTCTTCAAAAAAGCACTCAAGGTTCTGATGGACGGCAGTATGCAAAGCAATTTTCATTAAATTAAAAAGGAAGATACCAAGTGAACGTGTTCATACTCTATATGACTCAAAACTTCTGGTGTTACCCAGTTACAAATGGGCTTGCTGAGTGCAGTGTACAGCCACTAAAAGCTCAGCTGAAAGCAATGGCAAATGAACCATTTTAAATCCATGCTAAAGTGCGGGAAATTCTTTTTTCATACCGAGCAACCCCACTGACTAACAACAGAACTCCAGCTGAAATGTATCTGCAAAGCAACATCTGTATTCAACTTGATGCTATTCAACTGATGAAGCATGTTCAGAACACCAACCACACAGTGAAGTCCAGATAATTAAGCATGGGAAATGGTGCAAACTCAATGCTACATCAAAAACCAAAGCCTGGTACAATTATCCAAAAATTTGGGAAACTCCACTACCAAGTGAAACTTGATGGTGGTTATATATTCAAAAGACATGCTAACCAGCTCAAAGAATCTGATATTCTGAAAAGGTCTGTCCCATTTGCACCAAGTACGAAATCAAAGGAGAATTATGATCCAGCCCATCAACAGGTGGCTGTTCAACCTCACTGGAGAGGACTACCGAATTCAGAATCCAATCTCCAGCAACTATACGTAGATGGCTGGAATAACCAAGATGCCCTGGCTCAACAAGTACAGAAGGACGTTCAAAACGCACCGGCCAAACCCAAGGAGGATCTTCAGCTTAAGAGGTTGACACAACACAAACCCCCATCATACAAATATGACTTCATCACAGGAAGAAGTTCATTTTATTACTATATCTGCATTGTGATGTCTTAGTAGGCAAACCGATTTCAGTGCAATTGTAATTATTCTGATTTGTTTCATTCTGGTCCATCACACTAACAATATTATAAAAAATAAAACAACTCCATCCAGTGTGACTGTTGAAGTTTTTACTATTTCAGTTCTTAACACCCTTACATGTTTTGGTCCCTAGTGACCATCATCAGAGGGACATCGATACTCTTTGGAAAACACTATTACAATGGGTGTTCTGAATGTTAAAATATACACACATACAATGTTTATAATGCACAATATATACAAAATCCAAAGTTTTCACAACTACAGTGGTTGTCTTGGTATATTAAAGTTTTTTAAACTTTTCTTATTTAAGTTAAAATTTATAAACCAAATAGGTTCATGGCCCTTCCCTTATCGCCTTTCTTGACTCGGGCTGAACTTCTGCCGCCTGTCTTTCTTGAGAAGGAGGTTCTGCAAATATATTATGGGTATAGTATTATTTCAGCAACCCTATTATATATATTGTGACAAGCTATCTTATGTCCATCGCCGCACAACGGCTACAATGGAAATTGTGGAGATCCCACAGCGACAAATCATAGCGACGAATTGCCACTGAGTAACAACAGATGAGACAAAACTCGTTCCCAGTGTATAAAGAGCGTTCCCGAAGCAACGGATTGCCAGACACATGAGATCGAACCTTGGCGAATGGTGTCTCGTATCCAGTCCACAGAACACCTACATAAGCCAAGAGCGACAGAGCTACAACACGACAGAGCTAATTAGCCTTCATACAACATGGTTGGAACCGAGTCGCCATACAAGACAGTTGAAAGGTAGCTGCCGCAGAATACAGTTGAAGTGATAACAATTGTATGAGTAAGGTGTGTAAGATTGGGTGTCCAATAAAGATTCGCTAAATCCGAGGCCCACATAAAGTTATTTGTCGTGTGACATATCCAACACGCGACAACTGGTGTCAGAAGTGGGATCAATTCGGATTCTGAGGCGAATTTGGAAGAATTATCAGTCTGACACCACATCAAGTGCCATAACACCACACGAGCTGAAATGGAGTCACACCAGATAGTGGAACACCTGGTGAAGGGAACTGGCCCCAAAAAGTTGCTGGTCCCTTGGAAAGCCCTTAGAGAAGAGATGGCAGCCCTGCGGAAAGAGAGGGATGCAGATACGAAAGCCTGGAAAGAAAGAGTTGCCACCATACGAAACGGAAGGAAGCCAGAAGAGATGAGTGCCAACACGAAAGCCCAGCTACAGGAGATTGCCACCACGCGAGACAAAACATGGGCCACCAGGCGAGAAATGAGGGACACCAACCACAAGATGATTTATTTATTATGTTTTGTATTGACGCTATTTGCTGTATGTTTTTTGTCGCTAAGTATCTAATGGCTTCTTGTTGATTAATGTATTTTACCTGTCTTATCGCGTTTTCTGTTTCGTAGACTAATTGTTTTATACATATTTGTGATATGATACACATATTATATTTGCTTCCTTTATTTAGTAGCTTTTTTTTCTTTTCAGTGAATTGTATGTTAGTCATATTGTGCGAACACAATTTTAACTTAAATACCAAAGTTTTAAAAAACTTTAATATACCAAGACAACCGCTGTAGTTGTGAAAACTTTGGATTTTGAATATATTGTGCATTACAAACATTGTATGTGTATATATTTTAATATTCAGAACACCCGTTGTAATAGTGGTTTCCAAAGAGTATCGAATGTCCCTCCGACGATGGTCTATAGGGACCGAAACATGTAAGGGTGTTAAGAATTGAAGCAGTAAAAACTTCAACAGCCACAGTGGATGGAGTTGTTTTATCTTTTATAATGTAATTATTCATTTCAAAGTGAGGCCATCTGATAATATCCAATATAAGCATGAGAGAACTGTTATCTCAGAAGTGAACGGCTAGATGGTGCGCGTGAGTGATGAACTTGGGACGGGACAGAACAAAGGCTGATGTGTGCACACAGAGGCAGTTTCCATCATTCAAAATATCTAGTGGTGGTAATAACAAACGTGGAAGGGGTGTCATTTTCTATCAGTATTTCAGTGGTAAAGAAACGACACAAATCCCTACCATAGTACAAATGTCAAGGCTGCCTAGGGTAAATGTTGTTGCAAACAGAACTCTTTTAACACTTTCCTCACATGGTGTTCAGTTGACAGGAGGTGCAGAAGATGTGAAAGCCTGTTCTTTCCTCTAAACATTGGTATGTGACATTTGAGGCCATTTACTGACAGAAATTATTTACTAAGTGATGAACAATGAGCCAATATCTGTCAATTTAAACACAAGTGCTCCAAGGAAATCTGGTTGGTACATGGCATGTAAAAGGTTAAACAAAACGAGAAATGCTCCATCTGAAATTACATGTTCTCTTATTTCCTTGAGAAGGCAGATATATGACAAGCCCACATAAAATTATTATTCTTGAGAATTTCTCTGCTTTGCATCCTTTCTCTTCTAATCCAGATGACCTAGCTCATCATAATGCAAACACATTTTATGCAACTGGCAATTACGATGGGGTACCCAAAAGAAACCAAACTAATTTTTTTGTGGGCAGAGCTCTTGCAGTACCGCATTTTGCTGCTATGAGCGCATAGAGCTAACATTCCTGAGTCGATAAGCCGACTAAAATTGCTTCAGAAGGTAAGGACTAGTTTCGGCAGAGTTTATAGTGACAACTGTTTTGTGTGATCGTCGTTTTTGCAATGGCTGATTTTCACGAACAGCGTGTGGCGGTGAAATTCTTTTTGCTCGGGAAAAGTGGAACAGAAACTCTTGAAATGTTAAAAACGGCGTACAAGGATGATGCTATGGGGAAAACTCAAGTGTTTGAGTGGTTTTCCCGTTTCAAAAATGGTGAAATGTCAATTGATGACAAACCTCGTTCTGGTCGTCCTTCCACGGCCCAAACACATGAATATGTTGAAAAAATTCGTGAAATCATCAAGGAAGATCGACAACGGACCATTGAAGAAATTGTGGAGCTGTCGGGAGTGATCTGGAGCTCAGCAGCCAGATTTATGGCAGTCGGGTGACTGGTTTTTCCATCATGACAATGTCGCTGCTCACAGTCCTGTCTGTATGACAATTCTTGACCAAAAATGGTATGACCCCTGTTCCTCACCCTCCATACTCACCCAACCTTGCCCCGTGCGACTTTTTTTGTTTCCTCGAATGAAAAGAGACATGAAAGGAAAAAACGGCGGAGGTGCTGTCAAGCATCTCAAAAGATGAATTTAGACAATGTTTTGAAAAATGGAATAAAAGACTAGACAAGTGTATTAGTGTAAGTGGAGAGTACTTTGAAGGGGACTGAAAGTTTGTGCTTAAAATTTGAATAAATAAGTTTAAAAAAATAAGTTCGGTTTCTTTTGGGTACCCCCTATTATGTAGCCAACCCTTGGCCATGATGTTGAGCCAATTCTGTCCATATTCCGTCTTCATATCTTACCTTTGTATACGTCTGTGTCCCTTACCCAAGTTACTTGCAGAACAAATCAAACTTTTATATAGTGTCAGTGTTCTGAGAGAAAAGAAGCTAGTACATATGCTACACCTCAACACTGTAACTGAACTGAAGGGGAAGAAATACTTATCTGAAACAGGAAAATGGAAGTCTTGAAATGAGTAACATTCCCCAGACTGGGCTCATAAATCACAGTCATGCAAATAATTAGTACTATTGATGTAGAGAAATGGAAGGTAAGACAAGGCACTTACTAGAAAGCAAAGCCAGATCTATGTTTCGACCATTCCACTGTTGGCTCTGGGTCTCCAGTCGCCCGACATTCAAGCTTCACTCTCTGCCCAACAACAACCTGGACATCTGTGGATGGAGATATGGTGATCCTTGGCATAGATTGCACAACCAAAGTTGCCACAGCAGTCGTTGACCCTGCCTCACTCTCTGCATGGCAAATATACTGGCCTGCTTCTGCTTGAGTTACACGGTTAAATCTGTAGAAAAGGTTATAACAGAATTTTATAAGCATCCACAAATACAGAAATACACCATGATATAACGTACACATAACCCTTTTTATAACACACAAAAATAAAAGGTCAATTAAAATGCCTTTACTGAAAACGAGTCAGATGAATTTTGTCTACTTATTCACATCATCTTCTTTAAGAATCATTTCAATATTATCCGACCGCCTCAGTGGTCTAGTGGTCTAGTGGTCAGAGTTTCTGGCTACAGATCCCAAGGTCCCGCGATCCATTCCCGGCACTACCGGATTTTCTGAGAAGTAGTGGGTCTGGAATGGGGTTCACTCAGCCTTGTGAGGATAACTGAGAAGCTATGTCAAGGAAATAGCAGCTCCGGTCTAGAAAACCGAAATTAACAGCCATGGGGATTCATTGCGCTGACCACGCGACACCCTCTATCCGCTAAAGTTGGCACTAACTTTGCCGACAATGGCAGTCCCTTAGTCAATAAAGTTTGCTCGCGGATTAAAGCCATGGATTTGATTGTATTATAATATTATCCTCCAATCTAGAATTAGGTCTCCCAAATTATTTATTTTGCATACATCTCTCATCTCCTCCATGTATGCTACACCTTAACCTCCTTTACTTGACCATCCTATTATCTGATGAGTATAAATTCTAAAAATATGGATAAACCTTTTACTGTAATATGGTTATACCACTTTACTCTTTGTTCAGAAACTAGGAACCAACCCTAACAATTTTATAGTCATACATAAAATACAAACATTCATGTACAGCACATAAACGTTCACGGACTTCAGAGACAAACACACACCAGCATCATAAGGTGTTCTGCCTTGTTACTTAATACATCACTGGCTTAAAAAAAAAGTCATATTTCTACTGCTTACATGTCCCCACACAGAACGCCCCTTACTTGTGTGCACCACCACCTAAGTCTATTGCTAACCCTGCGATTCCCAATTCCTATACCAGTAAGTGCAACTACAAAACATATTGTAATGTGTTTCGTGACTGAGACACAGGTTTGAGTTGTTAATTGGTATTAATAACAACATACAGGTCGTAACTACAATTACTTTATATACTCTTGCGGGTTTACACAATGCACTCTCTCTCCACATGAATCTGTTCACTCTCTCTACAGTAGTTTTCACACGTCTATAACACGGGAGCTATACAGGTCTCACTGAATTACACACCTCCCAGCTCAAGCCAATCTTGGATATTTTCTTTCGTGGTTTCAGTTTCTCCAGCTGCTCTCAACACAGTCTCAAAATCTTCTTGTTCCTAAATCCTATGAGTCTTTTAAAGTATGTACTCAACTATGAACAGAATTTTTCATTTGTCACATTTCAATCCAGATTATCCGACATCCAGATTAACTGTAACCAGATTTGGGTGGGTTTACTGTATGTGGATATACAGGTATCCGTCATATTAAAACACTCAATTTATGAATTTTTTCTATAATGAAGTGGATAACTTGTACCCATTTTTCATTTAATAAACTATGTTCTCACCTATACTCATAGGAAGATTTTTGTGAAGGTGGAGAAAAATACACACAAGATGTGGGGACAAACAGACTCCCTGACCATGTGCATCTCTCCCTTTTCCAGTCTATCCATGCACCTCAATGTGATTATAGAGAAGCAGCTTTGCTCTTGATGCTTGCATTTTATCCATAAATTAACCTACCATAATTGCTGCATGACCGTTCACCTCCTAATGAGCACCTTACTGCCTTAATGACATTTATTGCTGTTGCTACTACGCTGACATGCAGTTATATTTCTCTTCTAGCAATGAAGATGTTTAACTGATACACTTCATCTGTCCAGTAGCACAAGATCAGGACTGTACTGTGGATGTGCACCTGAATTCCAGTGGTCTCCCTTGTCAGGATGGCGGCATGGGGCCTGGCCTTGTCATGCTGAAGGAAAAATTTTCCTTCCTTCTCTGGCCTCACTCTAACAACTCATGCCTTCAGCTCCTGTAATGTGCCCACATAAAGAGCAAAATTGCTCATGTCCCTATTCCAGGATAAGCACAATGATAACCCCTCCTTTGTCCCAAAAGATGGAACACATGAATGGGTGACCCATTAACTTTGCTCTTTGTCAGGGAAACTTTATGTTACCATTCCACAGACTGCTGTTTTGATTCTGGTTCCCATGTTTCACCTCTCATAATGATGCTGTCTACGAAATAAGACCCAACAGGCTCATACTGCTGCAGATCAACACAAGGCCACACTCTCTATCCCATATGATCTGTCATTAGCATCTGTGAAACCCATCTGGCACAAAATTTCCTGTATCCCAGATTTCCCAGAATTGTGTTCAATGTCTTAAAGCCTATTACAACATTTGCACACATTTCCTTAATCTTAGCACGCTGAACCTCACAAATCAGTTTAGCCACTCTCTCTTCATTTTCCACCATCGCTGCAATGTCAGCATGGCATGGACCTTGGCATATTTTTCAAACCACTATAACAACAACCCACTAAATCCACCAAAATGGTGTACTGAAATTCTGCAACAGATTTTCACTGAATACAGTTACCTGAGCACTCCACCTGGCAGTTCTTCAATGGTTGATGACAAGGGACGTCCATCAGTACGGGTCCATCGTACGCGAGGTGAGGGGATTCCTCCGGTGACTCGACACTGCAGTAGAACACTTCCACCAGTAATAACGGTCTGTGTAGCCTCGGGGTACAGCTCCACAGCAGGTGGTTCTCGGCCTGTGTAACATCATAATATGCTTGCATTCTCAGATGATTATATGAGATGTAGCATACCCATCAGCCTATTTTACTTCCAGGTCCAGAGAATCATATATATGTTACATCTTGTGTGTACTTAATTACACTTAATTGTACTTAATTACCAGCTTTCAAGAACTTTTAATTCCTTAAATGGCCGCCCCATATTCATTTGTGTATGTTCTTTGTACAAATGTAAAATGAACGCATGCTGGGGAAGTTGTACAGAACTATAAGGCTTATTTTGTACTTTATCCATTGCCTGGTATATACGTAAGACAAAAAAAAAAACACGTTTCGGAGACTGGATCTGTCTCCATCCGCAGGTGGATGGGGCAGGACAGAGAGAGATCCAGTCTCTGAAACGTTGTGGTTTATTTTTGTCTTATACATACCAGATGGATAAAGCCCAAAATAAGCCATATAGTTCTGTACAGCATACACCATCATCAGAATCCTTTCAAGTCTAACTGGGGAAGTTATATACATTCCCCATCTGTCAGTCTGCCTGCCTTCCTGCCTGCCTATCTACAGTTGTCTCTAAAATTGTTGATGAAACTGCTGTGCTTCTGCCTGTAAGTTTAATGTTTATGAACATTCATAACAGCTAAACATGACACAATAAGAAGAACTACCCATCACCAGAGGACATATGGGAGTATAGACAAGGGCACATCACAAAAACTGAACTTATAGACAGAAGCACAGCAGATTCATCAGCAATTTTAGAGACACATGAAGATGACCAGTGTTGGTCAAAACATACAGTGTGCATACACCAGTGATGCGGAAGGGATTTTAAAGCTTAGAACTTTTAAAGGTTTTAAAAAGCAAGTGGCATGTAAGACAGCTAATAACTTACAAGGAATATATAAACGTTCTAGGTCTTGGAAATCTGAGCCATAAGAATCAACTTCATCACTTTCAAATAAGAATAAATTATGTAGCATAACAAGATACGTAACAGGTACAATTCCACATTAAGCAGCACATACAAAGGTGCATGAAAAAACAGAAGGAGCCACTTACGTTCTACTTCTATAACAGCTGATGTCACAGAGCTCCCACCAGCATTTTCTGCAGTGCATATGTACACTCCTCTGTCACGTACCAAAGCATTGATAATCCTCAGCACTGGCCCTATTGCCTGCAACATGGCAACAGAATACATTGCATGGCTGGTGCTTACCTTGGGCATTACTGTGAAGCCCCCATGCAAGGACTCTCTGGGGAACACTGGATATGAATAGTAAACTGAGGAAGTCACAACTGGGAGAAACATAACACATATACTAATTGAGCTGGGACAAGTGAAATTATACAAAAAAAAAATTTTGAGAAAATCTTAAAAAAAAAAGGTAGAAAGGTAAAGTTGTCCCTATATCAGGCCATGGTGGCCCATAGGGTTGTGAGGGGCCAAGCCTCCCACACTTTCTAGACAATCAGTTCACAGATGGCAGTAACGCTGTCAGCCTGACACTGGCTGCTCTTTACCCCCCCAGGAAGATTTCCGGTACTCATTTCTGTTGGAGGTTGAGTTGACCCCAGGGTCATAGTGTGGCTGGAAGGATTAGGTAAATTGAAAAATCAGTTACATTAAATTAAGGAGATATACATGGAGGTTCCACTGCAACATGTCACTGTTTATAAGATGCCCAGTAACATCACATGAACATTTCTAGAAGGTTCTGATTATGGTATATATTACAATTGGGATTACTGGGTCTCTGGATTTTATCCATTGTCCAATAGTTCTTCAGTTCTTTATTTCATTCCATAAATCCTTACAATTGAGGATGTGGAAACAGTCATATAGAAGGAGCAATAAAAAACATACATAATCAATCAAAACATTACACAACATAACAACATTTATCACAGTCATTACAAGTGAATAGTATCATTATTCTTGTCATATCTAAAATCAAAATATTCATCTAAAGCATAAAATGAATGATCACATAAAAATTTTTCCAAAGTCAGTTTAAAATCTCTAGGATTGTTATATAATTACTTTATGAAAACAGGAAGATTATTAAACACCCTGATACCCATATAATAAGCTCCTTTGAGATATAGTGACCGATGGGCTGAAGGTTGATAAAGATTAAAATTATAACGCTGTCTTGTATTTCTATTGTGTATATCAGATATAAATTGATATGAATCCATTTTGTTAACCATAAAAGACAGTAAAGAATAGATACATTGGGATTGAAGAGGGGGAATACCCAAGGTTATGAACAATTGCCTACAAGAGTCTCTCCTACCGACACCCATCATTATTCTGAGCCCCCCCTTTAGCACGCGGAATACGTTAGTAGCATATGAGGAACTTCCCCAAAACATGATACCATAATGCATGACCGAATGAAAATAAGCATAGTAGACCATCAACAAAGTTTCCAAATTAACGTAAGGCTTGATAGTTCTACTTGCATAACAAGCAGTGTTAAGTTTCGGTAAAAGTTTATCAATATGTTTCATCCAGAACAATGTGTCAGTACTATTGATGCCTACGAACTCTGTGTGACATGAATCAGATATCTCCTTACTACAATATGCAATTTTTATATGATTATCTTGTTCATAAAACCATTTTGCTGCAAATATAATATACTCTGTTTTAGAGAAATTTAAGGATAATAAATTGATATTATACCATATACATAGGTCAGATAAAAAGTAGTGGCAACATCTCTATAGTTTTGAAAACACTTTATTACCTGAGGTAAACACACTTACATTCCTTCAATATAATCACCCCCCATGTGTACCACTTTCTGCCAAATTTGTAGAAGGCATTGTACACCATCAGCGCGTCCACTTCTGTTGATGTCCAGCAGTGACCACCCTACAGCATGAATAATCTCCTCTCTTGTGGTGTAACGTGTCCGTCACAGTAGTTCTTTCATTTTGGCAGAGATCATAATCACACGGAATCATATCGGGTGTGTATGGCAGATGTTGCAGCATCTGCCATCGCCAGCGGCGAAGGAGATCTTTGACAGCATCAGTAGTATGAGTCCTTGCATTGTCATGAAGGATGATGGGATTCATTGTCAACAAGTGTCATTGTTTTCTCCTGAGTGCTGGACAAAAATGATTATGCAGGAAATTGCAGTAGTAGACAGTGTTTACTGTCTGTCGTTGAGGTACAGTGTGGTGCAGTATCACTCCATCAATGTCAATGCCACAGTGAACATCACCTTCACATTACTCTGCAGATTGGCGCACTTTCTTTGGACGAGGAAAGCCAGGATGCTTCCATTCATTTGATTGTCGCTTCAAGTGTGGTTCATATGAGCGAGCCCAAGTTTCGTCCAGAGTGACAATCCTTCCAAGGAAGTTGTCACCTTCCCTCCAACAAGTCCTGTGCAATTGTATAACATTGCCATTGTTGCACCTCAGACATTGTATGGGGTACCAAACGCACTGCAATTTTGCGATATCCAAAAATATCATGCAGAATGTGGAGCACGGTTTTGTGACATACGCCTACCTCAGCAGCAAACTCCCGCGCAGGCCATCAACGATTAAGATGCAGCAAAGAAGCAAGAAGCTGAATTGTGTTGTTGTCAACATGGAGTCATCCTGAACAGCATCCCTCCCTTCACGGAACAATTTCACCCTTCGCGCCACTGTGCAATATGGCAAAACAGAATCACCACATGCTTCTCGCAGTCCCTGATAACAGTGCCGCCTGATGCACATCTTTCATGTTACAGCAGTGTTGCCATTACTTTTTATCCAACCCTTGTATTTAAAGTTTTGAAGACTTCACTTAACTTGTTACGAAAAATAGAGGGATCGGATATATTTACGATAACACTGGTGTCATTAGTGAAAAGGATAGGGCAGAGATCTTGTTTAATACCAAAGGGAGATAATTAATATAGATCAGAAAAAGTAAAGAGCCCAAGATGGAACCTTCGGGCACTCCATGAGAGATATTACCCCAATCAGAGCAAGTATTCAGATTGTAATATTTAGATTGCAAGCTTGTTCTTTGAAATCTTCCTGTAAGTATGATGCTGTTAGTTTGAGCGTCACGAGTTTGGCACTGCCTGGCACATCATTGATCACTTGGCAGCACCTCCTCCATGAGGATCGTTTGACTTTCCTTATTTCTTTATTATAAGAGGTGAGGGTTTCCTTGTAGGTGTTCCACAGCCCTGTTCTTTTTGCTATATTAAACCACTTTCTTGTTTTAGTTCTTAGCCCACTTAGATTTTTATTCCACCACTGTGCATTTTTTGGTAAGCGAGTGTTCTTGGCTGGACATTTATGATAATAGGACAAGATAATGGCCTGTTGCAACTGGTCAACAAATCGATCTACGTCCATTATTGTGCGTATATTTCGCAAATATAATCTCCAGATTTACCTTTAGGTTGTCTTAACTTCAGTGATACCATCAACAGCAAATTTCATGCACTTCCAACTAAAATGGTAATGGAAAGCCATTCATAAAATAAAATGCTGAAAGGCCTTCAGAACTTCAAACTATGAACACTCCACTGTATATTCAAAACAAGAAACTAACTCTATAACGACTTACCTGAATGTTGCTCCCAAGCTCCTCATTCAATTTGCTCCATCTAATGGTTGGTGCAGGATCCCCTGTGGCAGTACACCTCAGCTCTCCTATTGCTCCTTGTGATATTGTCTGTGTTTCTGGTTCTATTCGCACTGTTGGAGGCGCCCTGTGGATTCACAACAATTACTGCCTTGGTTCTGTACAGATAAAACACAACAAATTTACAGTATACAGACTATAACCACCATATGCAGATATTATTGTAGTGTGTAGACTCAATATTAGGTAGCGACCACGAAACAAACAGGTTCCCACAGCAATGAGTTCATGCACAATAACAGAGGAACTCTTGGAAACTGTGTTTTCTATGTGGTCCATGCCAAGATGTTGTAAGGAGGACATTGGGAGGGCTGCAATGATTCACATCAGTCCTTCAAGGTAATGCTAGGGCTGCACCTTCAGTCAGGCCATGGTCCCTTCCTTCCACTTCTTTCCAAATCATTATTCACCATCATCCAACTACCTGACACTGCAGTGTGTTACTGACAGCATCACTGAATAAAATACAAATAAATAACTACATAATCTATGGCAAGAGTCACCAACCATTCCAGGAGCTATGACAAATTTATACTTCACAGCATGTGCCACATGAATCCAACCTCCCATCACTTCATCTCTCTTCTGCCCAAATATTATCAAAACCCTGTTTTCAAACACCCTCAGTCTATGTTCCTCCCTTAATGTCAGAGAACAAGTATGACACCCATACAGACACACAAGCAAAATCATATTTTTCATCATCATCATTATTATTATTATTATTATTATTATTTATTTATTTATTTATTTATCAACATTACCTCAGTGTCTAAAGTTTCCAAAGCTGTGAACCTATTTGAGATTTCAACATGATACTGCTCTTTACCCTCTAGCTTGTTTAATTTCTTGAGATTGAACCTCTCCATATGAACCCTGTGTGTTGTTTATTTACTCACTCTCTCTCTAACTTCTGTCAAACATGAAAGTGGTCAGTGTAACAATCTGCTGCCCTGATCAATCTCACATCGAGTATATTTAAATGCCATCTTGTATCCAACAAAATATGGTCAATCTGATTGTGTGTCTTCCCATCAGGAGATGTCCAAGTAAATTTATGAAAGTTACGATGTGGGAATATTGTACTTTTGACAGTAAGGGCTTTTGATATGGTAAAGTTTACTATTCTACCTCCTGTACTTTTGATGTGGTAAAGTTTACTATTCTAACTCCATTATCATTACTAATTTCATGTAAACTCTCAGTCCCAATCATTGGCTTGAAAATGTCTTCCCTCCCTACTTTCGCACTGAAGTTTCCTAACAAAATTTTGATATGGAAAATGTTTAATGAATGCCTTAAAAATTATTCTGTGTAGGTAGAATATCATATTATGTGGGATTGAAATATATTAATCTTATAGTACTAGTTTCGGAACCCTACATCTTACACCGTTCAGGTGGGAAATCATTTTAAAAGGCACCCTCTGAAGTGGGGACCACTCAAAGTGGCATATAAATGTCATTCTTTTTGTATCCAACCATCTCAATTATTATGACATTGCAACATAATCTAAGCATGTCCAATTTCTTGGCACAATGGGCAGAAATTCAGTTCATATACCAAAAATCACCATGTGCTTCACCATCAATAGAAAACTAAGAAAGTGTTGTGAATACTCTAAATTTCCTATTGGCAACCAAAACAATTTGAGATGGCACCAGCATGTCCATAGGCATATGGTTGGTAACCCTAATGCACTCTCTGTTTTCTCATATATTCCTTCTAACACCTCTCTCATGCCGCAACTGAACTTGTATCCAGTCATGTCACCTGAATCCTAATCGTCACCAATTTCTTTGTCAGATGCTGTTATAGTTCGTCTCTATAAGATGCCTCACTCCTACAGCTTTTCTTCAAAAGCCTTAAACAAAATTCCCAAATAAACACTCAACAATACCTGGTTCCTTAAATGTCTGTTATACATGTTACATAATAATTATCCTGTGAAATCCTATACGGCTACTCCACAGTATTCCTCTTCACCACGGCAGTATCTCTTGGACTAAATATGCATGGAATTTAAGTAATGCAAGAAAATGAAAACTATACAGTCTGCTAAAATGACATTACTGGACAGAAAATAGGAAGATGTAAGAGTCTGATAAAATATTGTCACGTGTTGGGTGTATAACACGACAAATAACTTCACGCCGTATTGGATATAGCGAACTTTATTTCACATTCGCTCTTACAATCACACAGTTCACAATCTCAACATTACTGCCATCGGCACTATCACAAATACTAGACTGCAAATTGACTGGTTGACATCCTGGTTAACTCGTGACTAACTCGTAACTAACTGTCAAATAGTCTTCGCTGCTCCATATTTAGCCCCGTTCCAGACAACACAGAAAACAACCACGTAATAGGCACCACTGTTGTCTGGCACCATGTTGCTAGCAACACTGTCGGGAGTTGTTTATAGCTGTATAGCAACCGCGACATCCCTTGGTCACATCACCACTGGCAGGATAGGGGAAGGAGTGTTGACTTGCCTGCTACCTTAGTAATGACAGAGCTCCGATGGTGTTACATCACCACTGGCGGGGGTAGGGGTGTCCTGCATAGCACAACACGTCACAATATTTTTACATTAAGTCTGACAACATAAGATATAAAATACAGCCCAATTAACCAGGCTTAATGAATGACAAATGAAGAATGTTGGACTAGCAGATGAAAAGACAGTTCTCCGGTCAGCAGTCAACTGAGCTACTCACTGGTTGGAGACAATAGTCACCCTGGCCTGAATCTCTGCTACTGCCCCCGTACTCCTCAAGGTCGCTGTGCACACATAAACATCAGAGTCAGCTGGAGAAACATTGAAGATGGTGAGAACCCCGTCACTCTGCACTGAGTCAGGTGGAAGTTCCCGTCCATTAGCTCGGGACCAGCGGATGATGTACAATCCACGATCCTCCCCAACCAGACAACTGAGTCGGACTGTTCCTCCTCCAGGTCCTGTGTATTCTGGGGGTTCGACAGTCAGCTTTATATTGGAACCAGGAGATGTGCCTTCTGCAAAGATAGCAATTTCAGACACATTAGTAAAATATAAACTTGTGCTCATTCTGTAAGTTTTGAGGTTTTCACGGTGATGACTATGAAGAAAGTCGTCTTCTGGGATCTGGCGCCGTGTATTCTTGGTTTTAACCGACGTTTCGGAGGAACATATCGCCTCCATCTTCAGGGCAGTTGAATTGCATTGCGAATACAGAGAACAGTAACTACTGCAACGCAATTCAACTGCCCTGAAGATGGAGGCGATATGTTCCTCCGAAACGTAGGTTAAAACCAAGAATACACGGTGCCAGATCCCAGAAGACAACCATCTTCTTGTGCTCATTCTGTTTGATACATCTGAAAACTTCTGAGTTTTCTTATCATTCACAGCAAAATATTATAGTCGATTTTCAATGGCATAACAGCAGACACTGAATGCACTACAATAAAAACAAACACCAGGAATTATGCATTACATTCAAATGTACTGAAGAAATTTCATAAAATCCATCAACTTTTTTTGCAGGAATGGGGGGTGAATATACATATATAAAAAAAAAAAAGAGTCTATGCAACACAAAATTAAGAAATATAAACTCAGTACTCTTCTTGACAAAAATCTAGTAAATGTGCACACAGAAAGAATGGCTAGGAAATCAATAAAATATAATTAATTTAAGTTTTATTGCCTGAATTTAAATCTCCCACTATTATTGCACTGCCATGTTAGGTGGGTCCCTTGTCACCACAGCATGGCACATCCTCGGGTTGCAGATGGAGGAGACACTCTGCAGGTATGTAGGGTAGATGCAAATATATTGAATAAGCAGTGGCGGACAGATGACAAGGGGTGGTCCTTCAGCTTGGGGGTTTGTTGTGGGGCTAACAAATCCTCACCATAAAAAATTAGCTTGTTACGAACATTTGCAGGAAGCTTCAGACCTGGATGGATGCCTTGGAGAAATGACCTAAGTGAAAGAAAATGGATATGTGATTTGGTACTTGGAAATGTTAGATGTATGTACAGGGCAAGTTCGCTCAGGGCAGTGGTGGAAGAAATCTCAAAATATAAATTAAATTTAGTTGGAAATACAGGAGGGCAGATTGGGTGGAGGTGGCACTGAATCAGCTGGTGAATATACATTTTCCTACAGAAAGGGGAATGAAAATCATGAATTAGGTACAGGTTTTTTCATACATAAGAGAATCATATCAGCAGTTAAGAGGGTGGGGTTCATCTGTGATTGGATATCGTACATAATACTAAGAGGCTGCTGGTGTGATATCATCGTTCTGAATGTTCATGCTCCAATGAAAGACAAAATTGATGATATAAAGGACAGGTTCTACATAGAACTAGAACATGTATTTAATGAATTCCTGAAGGACCACATGAAAATTTTGTTAGGGAATTTCAATGCCAAAGTAGGTAGGGAAGACATTCTCAAACCAACAAATTGGGAATGCGAGTTTCTACGAAATTAGAAACGATAATGGACTTGGAGTAGTAAACTTTGCCACATAAAAAAATCTTAGTCAAAAGTATAATGCTCCCACATCGTATCATTCATGACCCCTTCCCATCAGACATCGATATATAATTGACAATGGGTATGTTCTTCCACAGACAAATGTCTATATATGATAGCAAAGTTTCTTTTGCATTTCTCTGATGATAAGCTGGTCATATGTCACTACTTGCCCTTCTATACTATACCACTGCAATCATGAATGTTTGGTCTGCATTAACCTGCCATCTGGAAGTCATAATTTGAACTACTTGAAGAATGAATGCCATTCAAATACTACTGTGTATCAGTGTTAGCAACATGGCTTCATGTTCTCGTACACACGTGGCTTCTGGCATGAAAAAACCGAAATATAATCTAATGCCATGTGTGTTGAGAACGAAGACTCGGTTATTGCTTTGTTAAATGGAGAACTCAACATACTCTGATCATCAGACGGATTTGGAAAATGTTGAAGAAACTGCGAGTGAAGAATCCAGCAATAGAATGTTGGAAAGTGAGAGTGAGAGTGAAACAAATGTTATGTGTGTTGATGGGTGGGAAGACGTGACGATGGGGGACAAGAAACCCAAGGCATACAAATTTACTATAAATGCAGGGCCACAATTTGACCTTCTACCAGATGCAGAGCCCATGGTTTATTTTAGTTTATATTTCAATGACGAGCTTTTGAATAACACTGCTATAGAGATCAACAGGTGTGCAAGACACAAAATTTCGAAACCTGCAAAAATCAACTGGCCATGTGTCCTGGGGAATGTTTTGAAAGATATCACACTCTCAAGAACTTCAAGTTTTAGTGTTAGGTCCTACAGTTTTTCAGGTTTTTGTTCTTTGTGTACACAGAAGTGTGACAACTATAAGAAGAAAGGAATATGCATATATTTTGCACTAGATAATAGCAGACAATTTTAGCCCGTAAACACTAAAACCTCTCTCCATACTTGATTGTCATACACCACTACAAGGCAGAGAATTTGTCTTCTTGCATTGTGCTGGTAACTATACATTTTGCTTTATTCAATTTATGCCCTTGTTGTACCAACTTTTTGAGCAAAAATACTCACTTAGTGGCTCTGCAGGCATTTAAAATCACTTGACGACACGACTGAAGAAATGTTTCCAAAAGCAATGACCAGAAAGGGTTAAATGTACCTCGACATCTCCTGATAAGACACACAATCAGATCAACCATACAGTGGCAGTGAGCAAACAAACGATGCACAGATTTCATACGAGGGTTGGAACTTTGTTAGTGGCAACTATTTATTTACAACTCATACAAAATAGATGCATGTTTCAAAGTTTCACTGTCCTTCAATGTAGTCACCAGCATTCTGTACAACCCGTTGCCAGCGATGTGGAAGTCGTAGGCTACCTTTAGCAGCGCCTGTTGTGTTGATAGTTCGAATGGCGCGGTCTACTGCCTGAAGAATCTCTGGAACAGTTCTGAAGCGAATGCCACGAAGTGGTTCCTTCATCTTAGGGAGCAAGTCGAAGTCACAAGGGCTTAAGTCCGGGAAGTATGGTGGATGGTACAGCACTTCCCAGCCCCATCAATCAAACAAATCAGCCACAGCTTGCCATTTCTGCATTTCTGTCAAATTATGCAGAACCCATTGTGATGCAATTTTTTCATGCCCAGGCGTTCCTTCAGAATGTGAAGCACGGTCACATGCACTAATCCTGTCTCTTAGGCCAGCTCAGGAACCATATGGCGTTGATCACTCTCCAGTAACGCGGAGAGAGCATACACTTCTTCACTGACACTAGAACGACCTGGCCGATGCATGTCTGCCACATTTTGGCATCCCTCGTTGAAGGCTTTTACCCACCTTGCCACTGTTCTGTAGGGCAATGCAGATTCCCCGCAAGCCTCTTGAAGACCTTGATGACACTGTCGTGCTGTACGGCCTCTGGCACATTCAATCTTTATCCAACTCTGCTGTTCCTGTTTCGAAAACATCATGACAACACTACATTAGACCGCCAGCTAACACGAGGCTCTGTTCTTCTCGTCACTGTGCACGCACGTGATGTGGGAAGGGAGAGTCCATTTGTTCTGAGGTAAGGTAGGTATGTAACTAACATGTGGTATAAGCGACATTAGTTGATTCCATTGTATGGCATCTCTACAGCAGTGTTACCACTAATACAGTTCCAACCTTCGTATGAAAAGTTCAGTGTCAATAAATTAAATGAGTTAGAGAGTAAAGAGCAGTATTGTGTTGAAATCTCAAATAGGGTGACAGCTTTTGAAAATTTAGACACTGAGACGGATGTTAATAAAGCTTGGGAAACTATTAGAGAGAATACCAAATTTCTGCCAAAGAGATTCTAGGTTATTATGAACTGAAGAAGTATAAGCCATGGTTTGACAAAGGATGCTCTAAATTTTCAGACCAAAGGAAACAAGCAAAATTGTAATGGTTACAGGATCCAAGTGAAATAAATGGGAATAATCTCAAAATACAAGATGTGAAACCAGCAGCATTTCAGGAATAAAAAGAGAGAATATCTGAAGAATGACAAAATCGATGAGCTTGCAGTGAGCAGTAAGAACAAGAACATCAGAAACGTGTATAGAGGAATAAATTACTTTAACAGGGTTTACCAGCCTAGCAGTAACTTAGTGAAGGATGTGAATGGTGTGTATACAATTTTTCTTTTCTGTATTAGAATATGTTGCATGTTTGACTCAACATTTCATCATGATTGATGTTTCTGATGCAATACCCAGGATGGGACTTCCCATATCCCTCTACTCGTAACTTGCCTCATCCGCGTACCATCAAACTGGCCATGAAGAGCTTAGTCTGAAGCGTTCACATGTAGCGCTATCAACGTAATACTATTCAACCGATAAGGGACTTCACTTATTTAGTTCTGAAGTCTCCATGAGGTTCATTACGCTTCTTCATTTGAAGCTGGGGGCCATTCACATTAGTGGTGACTAGTCTGCAGTTAAGTTTGTTTAGCTTTCTGTAGTCATGCCGAAAGTGAAAGTAAGTCAGAAAACTAAATTACATCTGTATCAGCGGGAGTTCAAAGGAGAGATGATAAGTACAGATAACGGAATTCTTTATTGCCGAGTGTGTGAGAAAACAATTGGTTGTGAAAAACGCTTTCAAGTGATTCAGCATTTGAACACTAATATACACAAAGAGAATATTAAAATTAAATCCATGAAAAGTGCTCCTGTTCCAAAATTGCTTAGTGAATTTTGTAACAATAGTTTTTCAGTTTTCCTTTGATTTATGCGAAGCCTTTTTAGCGGCAGATATTCCACTCTGGAAACTAACCAATCCTACTCTGAGAAACTTCACAGAGAAGTATACACAGTGCAAAGTGCCGGATGAATCTACTGTGCGCAAAAATTACGTGAAGCAGTGTTACGATCTTACAATTGAAAGTATTAGAGATAAGATTCAAGATAATTTTGTGTGGGAATCAATCGACGAAACACAAGATTGTGAGGGACGGTTTATTGCAAATTGTATAGTTGGATCCCTTAATAAGAATGAACAATCTACCCCATATCTTCTTGCGGTAGAGCAATTTGAAACCACAAATGGCTCCAAAGTTTCCGAATTTTTTATCAATTCCATGAATTTACTATGGCCGAATGGCATTCAGTATGAGCGCGTATTGCTCTTTGTGACTGATGCTGGAAGTTATATGATGAAAGCCGGTACTGCTCTTAAAGTTATATTTCCAAATATGACACATTTGACTTGAATTCCCTTGCCCATGGGTTGCACCATGTTGCAGAAACAATTCGTGCAAATTTTCTGCTTGTTGACAAAGATGGTGTCTTCTGTATTTGTTATTTGTATTTGTATTTGTTAAAGTGCCATACAGAAAAGAAGCCTTTAAAGCAGTAACACCGAGTGTTCCACTTCCGCCAGAACAAATTTTAACGCGCTGGGGCACGTGACTGTGTGCAGCGAGTTATTATACCGTACATTTAGAAACAGTTTGGAATGTCGTGAATACATCTGATCCCAAAATGCAGCATCAATTCAAATTGCCCAAGATGTACTAAAAATCGCAGTACTAGAAACTAATCTTTCCTATATATCTGCTCACTTCTCTCATCTTCCATCTGTCATTTCCTCACTGGAGGCAAGCAATAGCGATACTACTTTTTATCAGCCATTAAGTGTGTTCAAAACCACTGTTTCCAAATTGAATTCGGTTCCTGGAAAAGTTCAAGTAGTAAAGGAAAAAGTACACAGCATTCTTTCAAAAAATCCAGGATATGAACAAATTTGTGAAATTGAAGAAATTATAACGCTATTTCTATTCTACACACTTTGAGTTCACCATTGTACACACACTAGGATTCTCCATCTTCACTAGTCATCTCCTGGCAACAGATCTCAACATGGAAACTAGCACTTCAAATCACTATGAAGCCTTCCTGCCATTTCTTGTACAATCAATTCATAACCTCAGAACTCAACTAAAACGCTGTCTACTACACACACCTCCAAGTTACTGCTTCAGCTTCAGAATTCTGCTCACTTACATGCATACAGCATGGACACGCTTCACAGAAAACACATGTCACATGATTGCTACCCAGCCAGTCCACTGATGCGCTGGCTGGACCTACAGAAAACATATCAAGTGACTGCTAAGCACTATTGGGCTATGACATCATTGCACATGCACAATTTGTATGGACACAAAGAAAACACTGCTTCTCTACTGTTGTGTGACATCACTGCATATGCAAAAGCGTGTTTACTGAGCTGTTGCCTAGAAATAGGTTTCATAACCCCGTTGTTCTATTGCTGTGTGTGTGTGTGTGTGTATTACTTAGCAACAGCTGTTCTGTAGCTCAACTGTACTTGCATGGAGGAAATACACCACATTATATACCCTCACAACGAACTACACAGAAAACACCAATTGTGTGCATCAGTTGCGGTCATCACGTGACAACTACCAAGTTACTCCCTAGCAATGGGCATTTACAGGGCCATTCTCTAGCAAGAGCTGTCCCTGCTGGCTTCACAATTCTGGCTTTCAGCAGATATGTCACAATATGCTCATATTTCACACATTTACAGGACTACTAAGGTACAATCATACCTCACTGATTTTGAACAACTGTGGATCTGCAACTCTGTTGCCCACATTCTGAAGCAATTATTTGCAAAAGTAGATTCTTTTGTTGCTTAACTTGATTATTTAAGCCCAACACACAAGTGCTACTTTATATGGGAAAAATTCAGTTTTGCAGCTGTGAACACAAACGCAAGTGAAACATTGGTTTACTGTGCGAAGCACCTTAATGATTTGGGTGGAGTAACCTCTCTAACCATGAGTGACGGTCTCAACTCTTTCTTTGATTAGCACATTCCTCTTAGACTGTCTCCTTTGTCACAAACTGAACCCATAGTCTACTTCTGACAAGCTTCATTACAAAAAACTTCATGGAAAATTATCTTTGTGAACATCTAAAATGAACTCCATGAAGTTTTCTTTCATATGCAGGGTAAGTTTATGAAAACTTGCTGCTCATATATCTCATTTCAAGAATAAAGGAATTTGAACCTTAAGCCAAAAAACTTGGCAAGCTGATCTCTCACTCACTATCGCACCAATGACAGTAAGTTTGTCGACTGCACAAAGTACTCACTGATAAGTTATGCCACAATCAGAACATTTACTCTATTTAAAATTGTAACAAAATGTCTGTCCCCCTTTCTCTTCCCAGAGTTCTCTATCTTTTTGTTACCTATCAGGCAGGTAAGCAATATGGTAAAAATTTTGACTTACTCAGAAAGTCTGGATAGCAGAACAGGTAACCCTAAAGTTTTTCTATGATTTAAATCAGGTGTTCCATATATGTGCTGGGATAATACCTCCAAATTGACAGCAACTGCCTAGTTCCCATCCCGGTCTGCTCACAATTTTATTCAAGACAAGCTTCCTATCTCATTCAATGTTACATAACCTCTGCAGCAGAAATAGTAACATTAAATACCTTAAGAACCTATTACTTGAGCTAGGAAGTTACCTGTAACATACAGAACTGTGCGCTGTGTGTCAGATCCTGCAGGATTGGTGGCTATACACTCATAAACCGCTTCATCAGACTTGTGAACTGCAGGGATGCGGAAAACCCCATTTGAAAAAGATGCCTGAAAACATCAAACCAATCCCTGTTTAGACAATCTATCATTTGAGTGAGGGTTGACTGGTGTAAAAAAAAAACACTTCTACCTGTAAAAATCAATGATTCCTTTATACAGTATTCCTTATTATGGAGCAAGGGTAGAAAAGTGTTGATTAATATGGCATTAGCAACATTACACTACTTTACAACTGTTACAATTATGGTTGTGAAAGTCTGATAATTAATATAGTTCCTCCATTTTCAGGGTCAAGTGTAAGCCAAGCATAGGACAAGCAAAGATTCTGCTTGCTTGGCTTACACTTCAACACTGAAAATGGCAGAACACTGGCCAACTTCTACTGGACCATGTGACATTACATCCCACAGACAGTACTCAAAAGTCACTGCCACTGAGAACCTCAACAGTAACATAGTCATAAACCTTCAGATGCCATAAGACCTGAGAAATTTCTTGCTTATCTCAAGAAGAACTCTACAAAATGCGGCGAATGATTATAAAACACCACTACTGTTAAACGAATAAGTTCACTGCAAATCTGAAATAACACAGCAACTAAACTCGCTACTAAAAGAAGTACTCTCAAGAGGCGACAGTCAGTCAACTGTTCATCAAATTCTTTGTCATTATGAAACACAAATATATACTCCAGTTATCACAAAAACCTGAAACAAGACTGTATTCTGAGATTAATCCAGTTCACATCCAAAACTTATATCCCTAAGATCCATTTTTACTGAAAATGTTTTAGCCTCCAAGGCACTTTTCTGTAATGTTTTCCATCTAGACTCTATATGCAGGTCTCATTTCATACATTTGTACTACATGCCTGGCCCACATAAAGACTTCATATAATTAATACAATAATATTATAATTATCTAACCACATACATTATACTCTGTTTGCAGTTTCATTTATTTTAAGTGGAGCTCCCATTAATACAGTATCTTGGACGAACAACCACTTGAGAACATCAGCTGCCAAGGAATTCTTTATGCATTTCCTTGGCCCTTAAAAGGACCACATGCACAACTCTTCCCAGTCCACTATTCAAATTGGCCTACGGACAAAACACAAATTGCCGGTGTAGCTCCCCTTCCACCCTTCCTTTCAAAACAACAGAATTCAACATACCATGAAAATTCGATTTCAAGATCCTGGAATTTTTTTTTCTTTGTGAATTTACACACTTTGTGTATGGTCCCGACCAAATGTGCACAACAATAATGTTAAACATTAATGGAGTTTATGTTTCTGCAACTTCAAATTTTCCCTGAATTGGCACTTCTTTTTTCTAGACCTGACTATGAAAGGTTTCCCACTTTTATATGTTGTATTTCAGTTCTGAGAATTTATATCAGCCAACGAACTTCCTTACCTGTCAGCAGTCATAAGGGCTCTATCATAACATACACACTATCAACTGGCTGATGCAAGTCTACAAGCAATTTGTGGCCACCATGCAACTTCAGTAAGGTTTCACTCACCAACTCACTTATGGAGCTGAGCCCTTCTTGCGAAGCTGCCAGTTATGCAGCGACTCAAGAACTTTCTGGTATTTACAGAACCCGAAGGTTCATTACCGTTGTTATAAGAGCCCTCCACTAGTCTCTATCCAGAGCCAGAACAATCCAATCCAATCCACACCATACAATTCCATAATCATCATTCCATCCATACTTCATCATTATGGCCTAAGTGATTCTTTTGCCACCATGGCCCAAGCAGCTAGTGTGCCAGGTCAGCTTTTATCCACATGCATCTTAGCATAATTGTAACTCAACCAGAGAATTTGTCTCAAACAGGTTTTGACTGGTGCTGCCACCTATATATGATATTAACTACACTACTGGTTTTGATTTGAAATGTATATGTTGCTGTAGTAGACCTTGACACTTCATCCCAACAATGAACTTTACCCAACATTAGGCTCCAAGGAATGTTTTCCTTGGCTCAATAACTAACAGCAGTTCATGCAGACCATATATGGAAGAGTTGATCTTACAGGCAATCAATATAAAACATACAATTTATCGGGCACTTGTTACCTAACTCACAACACAAAGTCATGCCATTGCTTATAATAGGACTCACTTCAGGATTGAGTTGCTTACTGTCACCAATAGTCCACTGAAGTGTTGGTGCTGGGTTGCCAGTTGCTTCACAACGGAACTCAACTGGACTTCCTTCTCTCACTTCCAAATATCGAGGAAGAATTGTAACCTGAGGTGCAGTCTGGTGGGAGCCTATAAAACCATCATGCTGTAAGAATACGCTTCTCCAACAGCCACAGGAAACAATGTTGAAGACGTCACATATCTGATGTTCAAAAAAGTAGTTCTCAAATATCATATTTCAGCATCCTATTGCACTGAAGTATCACTTAATCTTTTGCCATCTATAATGCAACAATACCAATGTACTATTATATTTAAGCATCCTTAAGCATCCATGTAAGCCAAACTGGCATATACCAAATGAGATGTCTAGATTGCCCATTGAAATACATTGGACACACGGGCAGAACATTTACCACCAGATATAAAGAACATATACATGATATTAGAAATAATAATAGCAATTCGGGCACTCAAATCACATACTAAATACAGGACATACATATGGAACATTAACAGAGGTAATGGAAGTTGTAACAACAGGAAAGAAGGGCAGACATTTGAATACATTAGAGAAATACTATATATATATATATATATAAGTAAG